TATGTATATTTATATGTGGACTTTGTACATTGAACATATTATATAGCTTAATAATATGTTTGATGATACTCATATGAAACATCCATTTTACGCACTTATCTACTCCATCCCTTCCCTTTCAACATCCAAAAAGAAAAAAAAGACACTGAATAACTTTAGATTTCTTATTTTCTTTTACTGTTGCTGTATTATATGCTTGTTTTTTTCTGTACATTTAAAATTCAATTGTGTAAAAAGTTGGAAAGAAAGTGTAAACTAGTAATAAGTCTTCTTGAATGAAAAATATAGTATTTTTTTTTGTAAAGATAACATATCGTAATTATTATTTTTTTTTGCTGTCAGTTGGGGAGGAGAGAATTCAAAAACCGTTCAAGGTAAGTGTATTCCGGTAAGCAAATAAAAGAGGTACATCAGATTAATATTTAAGAAATAAAAAAGCTACGAGAATGCCAGTTCTGTTAAGCAAATCAAAAATATTAATAAAAATTTCAAGTCGGTCCTTCAGTTTACTATCAGCAAAAAAGAAAAAAGAAAAAGGAAAAAAAACAAGTCTGGTAAATTTTTTTTGCTTTGTTCTTTCAGTTTTTTCTTTGGTATTTAAATCGGCTTGATTAAACAGATTAAAAACACCATTGGAATTCTGCTTAAAAAGAGGAACAGAAGCTGAAAAAGTTTCCTTAACTTTTCTATCTTTTTAGTAAAACTAAAAACAATGACTCAGTGTTTAGAAAAATCAAAAAATATTCAAAACAGCCTATATAAATAAGGATTACTGACTTGGCTAAAGTTGTCATCGTCAACATCGTTTGCCGTCAGCAGAAAACGTTTAAACAATGTTTTTTAATTTGTTACTGTTTTATGACAACTTACTTAGGCGCTTAGTGTTTAAAAGCTAATTTTTATTTCTACAACCTGTTGTGGTATGGTATAAAGTACTTTAAAGTATTATAAACTTTAAACAAAATTGTTAAATTGAATATTAGTGGCAGTAACATTTGTTAATTGTAAAAAAAAAAAAAAAAAAACAGGGAAAAAATCAATGTAGAAATATTACAACTACAGTTTAAAGTAGAAAATTAAAAAATTTTTGCGATACTTAACTGAAGAAATAAGTGGTGGAAACAGAAACAATAGACGATGAAAGAAGAACAAAATAAACAGAAAACATTGTAGATCGATGTTAGTTTGGTTTGATAGTCAGTTATATGTGTTGTTGATCAGTTGTTTTGCTTCATAACATAGCAAAAAAATACATATTCATTTAAAAAAAATAGGAAATATTCATCAAAATGATCTGTGTATATCCATCAACAATCACAGCAAAGAACACTAAGCAAATATGGTTCATCTGATAGTCATCTGAAGTTTTCATAATCACCTCGTCACCTACTTTTCTAACAAACAAGTAAGATGTATAGCAAGAAGGAAAACAATAGTTTAACTCTCATCTTTAACTTTGAATCAATTTTAAGTCACTTTAAATCAACTTTAAGTTTCAGTTTCGAAACCAATTAAGAAATTTTTTCAGAAAGGACAAGTATTAATACAATTATTATAAACAGTTCTCAAGCAGCAACGATAGCAACAAAAAGAAGGAAAAAGAAAATAAGCGATATTGTTAATAAATATAAAACTAAAAATGAATAAATTAACGAATAAACAGAAGCAAAGCAACGAAAAAAAAAGTCAGCTTAAGAATAAAAACCAACAAGCGGCAACAAATGTTAAAGTTTTAAATGAACAAAAAAGAAAAACTGAAAGAAAAAGAGAACTTTTTTTTTTCAAATCTCCCTTTTTTTTAGTAATTCTGAGGTTGTTGTCATTGAATGAAAAGAAACAACAAAAAAAAAAAAAAAAAAAAAAA